CAATCCTGAAGCAAATCGATCTTCGACATCAACAGCAGACAAAGAAGAATCTGGTGCTTTGTACTCCTGTCGCATGTGCAAAAAAACATTTGCCGCCAGTAGAGAATTAAAATATCATATCGATATCTATTGTGAAAAAATGATAAAATGCACATTGTGCCACAAGCAGTTCAAAAACTATAATTTGTTGCGCAAGCATGACATAGGTGTGCACAAAGAAATCGCATGTGAGAAATGCCATATTACATTTAATGGCTTGAATACATTTAAGGCACATGCGTGTGGAGAAATCCGTCCAGAAATGGTTCAAAATGGTAAAATAATATTTAAGTGTGGCATATGTGATACAATATGTAAATCAAATTTTACTTTAGAAAAACATAAAAGAAGACATAAAAAAAAATAATTTCAATTTTTATATTTCTAACATGTTTGAATATTAATATTTATATTGTATATTTAGATATAAATCATTAGTTGTAATATTATCTAGTGGCTGTGATCTAATAAATTTATTATTATATATTGAGTCTAAGAATCGGGCATAACATAAAAAGAGCATGTTTTTTCATTGATGTAATATCCGATTACATTGATATAATTATTTATAATTTTGTGATATGAGTGGAACGAATATTCAATGTTAAATATGAACAATACAACACTCAGATTTTTAATACACACTTTATTTAATAATTACAGACGTTTCGAGACCATGGTATGCCTCATCTTCAGTGTAATTTCAAAACCATATACTAACACATTATTTAATATTATTTATATATATTAAAATATATAAATTATTAAATAAAGTGTGTGTTAAAAATCTGAGTGTTGTATTGTTTATCTTATAAACAGACTAATAAATTTGCTACTTTCTGAAAATGTTGCAAACCTATTGAAAACCCATTACGAACGTATTAAGTATTTAAGAAGCGAATTCTTCCATAACAAAAACGAACGAGGGAAATAAAATATTAATAATTTCTTTATTATATATATTTAAGCTCTTCTTGAAATTTTCGATTAATTTGTTCGTACAGGAAACGTAATAGGGAAATTTAATTTATAATTTCATTTTTCGACTTGAGAAAAATTAATCCAATTGAAATATTTTACGAAATGCCAATTAAATATAAAGAGGCATAGGGATAAAATTCTTACTTCAAGTATTTGAAAATGTTGCAAACTTATACAAAACCTATTGAAAACCCATTAGGTGCGTATTAAGAAGCGAGTCCTCCAATAACAAAAACTTCGTAACGATTCTCTGTTTCAATTCATTAATAATGTTTGCCGTTCATAAGAAATTCTCTTTGATATATATATCAATCAAGGGGATTTGTTTATTCTCCAAAAACATCTTATTAATATCGCGCTGAGCCGGTGTTTGTATGGACGACATAAAAGATAAACGGGCACACAATATTAATCTCGATTCCACAAAGCGTCTTTGTGAAACAAATACAAATCAGCACATTGTGCCCAGTGGTATCTGTTCAGTAAGATCGCCGCGGAGGGCGGTTTTCAATAGACCGTGGGGGTAGGTTTTATTCGAGCTGAATGTTTTAATCACCCTAATGACACCGTGTTGTCCTCACTCATTATTCCCCTTTTGCGACAAGAATCAGCGGCGCACCGGGGTAGGTGGAGCTCATTGAAACAATGTCACCGCATTATACAGGCGACCTCTTTGTGCGGAACTTGACGATACGTCACAGGCAAAGGCCTATATAATTAAAGCGACGACACTAAAGCTATACAGGTTGGAACGGGGTTTAAAGGTCCGCGGGTGAAAGGCTACATCACTATTATCTCAAAAATGTTGAAGTAAAACTTCTTTAGACGCGACATGGGTGTAAATCTGTACAAATGCAACGGAAATTGTTACGCCAAGCTGAAGTGAGAGTCATTCGCTCTCGATGATATGATTTCTATACGCGTCGATTCTGATTGGTCGTATTTGTGCGAGACTTCTTTGTATGCGTGAGTTTATACGTGCGTACGTCACCGAAAGCGTGCTCGAATTTATTAATCAGCAATTACTTTATTTCTCTAATGAAGGTTTGTTTCTGAATGCTTATTACAATGACAAACCGATCATGTCATATTTCAAGTATGACTTTGATTACATTATTGTTTGTAAATATTATACATATTTTTAATGCTATTATAAATATGTAATTTATAATTTATCATTATATAAATGTGTATAATGGTTGACACTAATAAATGTGTGCATCACGAGTGTTACCTACCATATTACTAATAAACATTATTCAAAATTGTTATATGATGTATTTATTTTTACTTAACTTAAATTTGCTACTTTGTACAGCAGCAAATAAGTTTTACTTCGATGGCGTGTGATCCTTACGCGCACTCTTTTTTTACTGACACTATTTTGAAGTAGAGGAAGTAAAAAATGTTTAATCAAGTCTAATGATAAACTAAACAGAATTATCTACCAAAACAAAATTTATTTTAAAAGTAAATATAAAGTAAGAATATTAATATTAATAATAAAGTAAATATTAAGTCGATAAATATCTTTCTCTGGGATAGAGCGGGGCACAAAAGTCCAACTTAACTTTGAGCAAATATATTGTGAAAATCATACCGATTATATCACAACAAATAACACATATGAAACATCAGTAAACTTTCCAGCTGATTTTCATCGTTGTAGAAATGTGTTTTTATTCTAAAAATTCACCTGGTCCTTTTTACCCCATAAGCGCGGTAAAATGACTAAGGGGCAAGCATTCTAATGTCTTATTTTTAATTTTAAAGGGATTTTTCAAAATAGAATCTACATTATTCAACCAATGTAAAATATAAATTTTATAGATACATTTCTTACAGTTATAACACTGTATATAACCTTGATATGGTATTTCGGCGAATCAGCAGATTTGCAATAACTATTTATTTAATTTATCTTCTGTAAAATTATATTTCTGGACTTAATTTAATTTTATATTTACTATTTTTATTGTTTATACCTTTGCCAGGGTAAAGTTACAGTTAGTCCTTTTTACCCCATCCACATGTAAGCTTTTATAGGGGTTATACATGATATTCAAAAAAGTTATTATTCAACATTTTGTTATAGCCGTATTTGTGTGCAATGCATTTGGTATCTATATCGTACTGAATAGATTGAATGGACTTTGATGTCACGGTTCACCAAAATTGAATGTAGAATCACTGCATTGCAATGTATATAACTTTAATAATCATTTGAATAAACCTTAGCTTATTACATGAACGTATAGATTCAATTTATAATATAACAATAGAATTATTATTATTGATCGAAAATCGAAACATAACCTTAATCTGAAATATAACATTTCTATAAAATTGTTATAATAGTGTTTCAATATACTTAACATTTCAATGCGGTGTTTAAAATTTGCGGGTAAAAAGATCCATATCTCTAATCGAGAGATAAATGGCAATGTTTGAAAATCCATTACAAAAGTATTTTCGTTGTTAGATTTTTAATTAATTATTAAAACAGTGCCTTAAAAATTAATCAAAAATTTATAGCTAATTCTATAAATAATTTTTTTTTCGGAAATACCGTCATTTAAATATTAAACGAAGCCCTATTATTAACTTCCCGTAGGGTAAGTTATAGTAATCGCAAAAAAATCGAAAATGAAAATTTTCATATATCTTTACGTTTCAGAGGTTTTTGAACATTTTGGCATACCTTAGAAAAAATAGATGTATGTGTGTGTGTGCGGATACAAATTTTCGTCGACGATTTCGGGAACACCGATCAACCGATTTCGATTATTCAAAAAACAATCAATTGCTGTTGATAAGGAGACGTGCTGATTAGTTTTTGGCGAAGGCAGGTCTAGCTGTTCCTAAGATACGGGGCAAAAAGTGCCACAAACGATAACTCAGTTTTTAAGAGAACGGAGCGTCCGATTTTAATAATTCAAAAAACATTTTACTTGTATTGACAAGATGAATAATTGATCAAATTTTCATGAAGGCGGGTCTAGCGGTTTCGGAGATCTAGTAAAAAAAGTAAAAAAAATGCCATTTGGCGGTCAAAAATGATCATTAGACATATGCACTTCAAATTATTTGATATTTTAAAGAGATTTTAACAGTCAGTATTAATTTTGGTTACATTCCTATCGGTTCCGTACCAATGTTTATCCGTTAGACGGCGACGCGGCGCTTACGCGCTTCGTAATTTCGTCTCTATGCAGTTAAAGCAGTACGATTGCTTTGAAAAAAAGTTCAGAATTTCCAAAATAAAGAAAACATTTTTTTTCAAAAAAGGTAAATTTTTGTCAAAATTTTATAGTTTCTCAAACATCTAATTTTTTCAAAGTAATTTTTTTTTCAAAAATGTTAATCTTTTTAACACTAGAAAGACGGACGAATTGAGTATACCTACATTGCCTGAAAACAGTCAAAATGACTGCGTCGTGAAAAAAATAAATAATGCGTTTAAAAATTTGTTTAAAATTAATTTTTATTATTTCATGTACTATTTACATTTATACAAATTATCAATGAGTGCTAAAAATAAAAAAATAGTTCATCTGACAAAAAAGTTCATTATTTTTACAATTCATGCAAATATAATTTGAGATCTTTTTATGAGTACATTTTCCGCAAACATGTTTTTTGCAAATTTGACACGTATTATTAGTTTCATTATTATTACAAAGTCTTATTTGGCAAAATTTTCTTTTATTACTACTGGTATGTGCATGATGTCTGTGGGTCATCATTTTTCTTTGATTTTTTTTGTTGATGTCGTGTAGTCCGCGGAAAGCTGTTCTGCCATTTCAAACAAAAACTGTTCTCTAAGGATTTGTTTTCTTTGGATTTTTATTCCTGTCGCTTCTTTGTAAAGAATCCAGGCATTTATCGCTGCCAAATCCAAAATATTGAAAAATACTTGCAGAGGTCATCTACGTGAACTACGTGGGATTTCACGGTATATTTTCTTTACCTTTGATCTGTCATGTCTTCTTTGCTGACCATAAGTAAGTCAATTTCAAATTTTTTGCCTCATAGGCCTCACGAGCATATAAAATTCCAATAAATGCACGTATTTCCGGTAACGATGTTGTCCAATCGTACCCCAAAATTTGACTGCCCTCTTCTTCTGTGCACTGTTTTATGTGTTTGATAATATAATTATCTATTATCAACGAAAATGCACTGACAAGATCACCTGTAATAATATTCTTTTTTGCAAAGCTCGTTGGCCCTTTCACACCCTTGAAAACACAGATGATGACCTTCCTGGAGTACCACCTTCGGCAATTTTTGTCCATAGAGTACCATCGAGAGCTGTTTCCATTTCTTGAATTCTTTCATCAGTTTCTGAGCCACTTATCACCCTCCTGCATATACTGATGGCACTTTCATTTTCATCAATAGTGATCACCTTCATCGCTACCCTCAGAATTAGATGATTCACATGGAATATAATCCAATTCATCATCAGATGATTGTGCCCAATTTTCTGCATTTGATTCTATGTCGGAACACTCTTTACTTATGTTTGTTAGCTTTTGCAATAATTCACTTCTTTTTGACATTTTATTTATAAGCTCTAAAAAATCAACTGAACAACGCGTTATACTGAAAGTTATTACGTGAAGAGGACCGGTCTAATGTCAATACTCACCAAAATTCGTTTATTTTTATATAATAAATGCATTATCGCATATTGGAGATGAATGCACGCGAAATAACTATTTGCAATACAATAACAAAGCCGTTTGTAATGTAAAATTTCTAGAGCAGTCAAAATGACTGTTTTCCGTCCATGCAGGCATAACATGTAAGAATATTGAAAATAAAAGTGAGATAAGGCAAGTAATACGATTTATCTACGCATTTATATGTTGTATAAAAAGTCACAAAATTTCACGAAGCTGCGACTCCAAATACATAGTTATTTTTATGTTTGAAAATGGAAAACAGTCAAAATGACTGCGTCCGTCTTTCTAGTGTAGAAAATAATTATTACTACGGGAAGTTCCAGCAATTTGCCTTAAGGCACGATGCCATGCGGCCCACTAGTTACGATTATAGGAAATACTTGCCATACTATATAAATGGTTAGATTAGAAAAAAATAGTGTACTTTAGCATAAATTTGGTGGTGCTGGAAAATGACTCTGACAAAATTCATAGTCTGACTGTGTCAATAGCTGCAGACAAAACGCATTAATGAAAGAGCACCTCCGCCAAAAAATAACAAGAGCGTCCAAAACGAAGTCGCAAAGTTGAGTTCTTGTGCAGCGTCGTGTACGGAATAATGAGAAGCGCAGCCTGTCGCAAGCTCGTTCGTGCGTCGTAGCTTCGCGTAGCATATGCACAAAGGGGTAGTGTTATCAGTCGAAACGACGATTCATAATAAAACCGCAAGAGTGTGCGGTGTCGTATCGGTCGATGCGGAACAAAAGAGAGAGAGACTTTCTTCTTGTGTTGTGTGCGCCCAATGAGCACAATGCCCGGGTGCATTATCCGGCAACCCTTTCCCAGTTGCCTAGCACGCCCAGGCAACACGATTGGTCCGATCGGCGTGGGAAGGCGCGCGCTTTTGTACAGTCCGCGATCGTTGGCCTGGATCTTTACGTGTGCATACACCGTAACGTCTCTACGTGCTTACCGTCTAGGTTGCAACATTTCGCGTGTTGTGCCTCTTCTACTGTCTAACGACGCGTCTATGTATGATACACCTATGTATTGTTCGGGTCATACAGGTGCGCGCGCCACGGACAAAAGGCGCCGTGAGCAGGCCGTGAGCCGGCCGCGTCGATCTGAGCGATCCGATAACCGAGAATCGAGACAGCGAGTCGCTAGTCACGAACGGGATGGAACGGGACGGTCAACGAAGCTCTGGCCAGACTACAAACGGGCTCCCGCGGATCGGGGCTTTCTTCCTTTTATTATTTATCATACACAAGGACATGCTCCGTTTTATCCATAAACCAACAAATAAAATGTAATTACTGCTACACAACAAAATATGTTATATTTATCGTCGTCTTTATTTAGTCGCCGTCTAACGCGTAAACATTGGTACGGAACCCATAGGAATGTAAACCAAATTTATACTTATTGTTAAAATCTCTATAAAATATCTGATAATTTGATGTGCATATGTCTAACGATCCTTTTTGACCGCCAAATGGCATTTTTTTTTTGCTTTTTTCATTAGATCTCCGAAACCGCTAGACCTGCCTTTATGAAAATTTGATCGGTTCTTCACCTTGTCAATACAAGTAAAATGTTTTTTGAATTATTAAAATCGGACGCTCCGTTCTCTTAAAAACTGAGTTACCGCTTTTGGCACTTTTTGCCCCGTATCTTCGGAACGGCTAGACCTGCCTTCGCCAAAAACTAATCAGCACGTCTCCTTATCAATATGAATCGAATGTTCTTTGAATTATTCAAATCGGTTGATCGGTGTTCCCGAAATCGTCGACGAAAATTTGTATCCGCACATACATACACACACACACACACACACATACATCCATTTTTTCTAAGGTATGCCAAAATATGCAGAAACCTTTGAAACGTCGAGAAATGCTAAAATTTTCATTTTCGATTTTTTTGCGATTACGATAACTTGCCCTACGGGAAGTTAATACTGCGATACAATGAAATATGTTATATTTATTAGTCCTGGGTTCGATCTTGGCCTCGGTTAGCTTGAAATTAGGCAGCATAATATCAAATTTCTACTTGAGTTCATAGATCTAAAATCTAATCTCAACGAAGCTTTGGCTAGTCTACAAACGGGCTCCCGCGGATCGAGGGTGTTTTCTGAGATCACTCGGTTTAAAAACAACGACGAGAATTTCTTTCTTTTATTATTTATCATACACAAGGACATACTCTGTTTTATCCATAAACCAACAAATAAAATGTAATTACTGCAATACAACGAAATATGTTATATTTATTACTCCTGGGTTCGATCTCGGCCTCGGTTAGCTCGATATTAGGCAGCATGATATCAAATTTCTACTTGAGTTTATAGATCTAAAATATAATCTCAGCGAAGCTTTGGCTAGTCTACAAACGGGCTCCCGCGGATCGAGGATGTTCTGAGATCACTCGGTTTAAAAACAACGACGAGAATTTCTTTCTTTTATTATTTATCATTCACAAGGACATACTCTGTGTTATCCATAAACCAACAAATAAAATGTAATTGCATACAATAAAATATGTTACATTTATTAGTCCTGGCATATGCTTGGCAGCATAATATCAAATTTCTACTTGAGGTTATAGATCTAAAATATATAGACCGATTATGCCGTAAAATAGACCAATGCTATGCCAAGGCTATGTTACGTTGCAGTTTTCATACAAAATGCTACTACATACAGTCAAATTGCCATGTAATTGCTGTGCGATCACAGACGTTCTGCACATAAAATGCAACTTCACTCATATGTTATCAAGTCATATCTCAAAGATCCAGTTATGATAACACTGACATTTGTGCGGTTTCTAGGTTTTCTATCTAAACGCCTGACTGCACAGCTACCACATAAGATTTTGACAGTTTTTAGTACCACTTTATATGAAAACTGCTACATAACATAGCCTTCCAGAACATTGGTCTATTTTACGGCAGAATCGGTGCTATAATCTCAACAAAGCTTTGGCCGGGCGAGATCGCAGGTGTTTTTAAGATCACTTGGTTTAAAAACAATCATAAAAGTTTCTTTCTTTTATTATTGATTATACAAATATTATCTGTTTTATCCATAAACTAATATATAAGTACTGTAAGTATATATTACAAGTACCATACCAAATAAAATGTAATTAGCGCAATACAACATAATTATATACAGCATGCCCTGGCGTAACCGGTTAAGGACGTGATCGGGGTCGAGCCCAGGTTAGCTTGATATCAGACAGCATAATATCAAATTTTCACTTGAGTTTATGGATCTTAAATATAATATCAAGTGATATTCGCCTTTCGTAGGAATAGCTGCAACATACACACAAAACTGTTAGATTAGATCTAATATAATGGCCACACATAGGAAAATGTTTAACTAATGGATTGCCTTTTGTGTAAAATTAGGCTATAGTTCAACAAAACAGCTTATAGAACGTGATTGCTTTCAAAAAAACTTTAGGTCATTATTATACAATTTTTAAAATGGATTAATTCAATATTACCAACCTCTCGCAATACCTCAAAGTATAAACACTGACCAATTTCATACTACTTAACCATTGAATATCGACATCAATAAATCAATATTTATAGAAAATACATATTACTGAATACTTAAAGCATTAAAGCCTTACCATATATTAATTAAATCAAACGTTCAGCAGCCCTTTATTATGATATTTAGTTCGACGAATGCAGTTAGTTGCAATGCTTGTATTGGTAGGTTGCATTCATATGATCAGATTCTCATGTCAATGTTATTGATTTAATACGTCTATTATGCGAATCGGTTCATTATATTATTGTCCGATGGTGATTACATGCGTAACATCAAGAGAGCTTCGTTCTAATGAGCTTGCATAGTAATAAATAATTGCACTGAAACTATGTTTAGCATATATCGTTAATTGATGTGGAATTTATCAGATTGACTATCATGATTTAGCCATCAATATTTTAGATTGATAATGTAATGGCTGTAAATAACGTGCCATTGCAAATTCTATTAAATTCATAATTATAATAATGAACGCAGTATAATAAAACTATAATGAACATTTGAAAACATGCTCACATTTAAATAATACTATAGTCAGACCCATTTTTATATTAAACGAGTATTTGCTGATATTGTTATATTTTACTTAGCCTTTTTTACTCAACCATTTTTTAAAAATAATAGTCATGAACACGTTATAAAAATATATCATACTATAGTAGTAGATGGGGAGCTAGACGCTATTTGTAACAAGGGTAAGTAACAGGCGTTTTTCAATAGGTTCTTGAATAATATCAAAATATTTTTTTCTCTCTGCATAATACTGTTATAGCTACTGCCCCCAGGCCGATGCAATATACAGAACTGCGCAGGTCCATCATTTTCATATGTACTATCATGAAATTTCGACTTGAGTTATTATTATCGACTAATTTTAAATTTCATTTACCTAAATTTGATAATGTGTAACAATTTTTGTGATTGTAATTTAATTAGTTATCCTAATTAATGTAAAAAAATCACACTTGGGGTTAATTAAACAAAACTTTGGGTCTAGTTGTAACTTATAAGAGTCATATACAGATTTAGTTGAAAAAGATGGAGAGACCGATTCTGCCCCATAACAGAAAAATGTTATGGCAAGGCCATGTTACGCTTCGACTTCCAACATTAGGCTACTGATTCATATTAAATACTGTCAAATTGCCTTGTATTTGCTGTTAATTCAGGCGTTTCACACATAAACTGCAACGTCACTCGTATGTTATGAAGCTGTGTCAGAAACACCGATCGTTTTTTTTAATTTTTGTGCAGTTTTTAGGTTAGGTTTTCTATCTTACAACCTGAGAAATACGCCTGACTGTACACCAACCACATAGCTTTTTCAATATATAGTATCAAAAATTCTTCCGTTATGCGGCAGAATCGGTCCCAGAGTAGAATGTATAGTTTGTAACATGTGAATTGTGTTATAGAAAACACTATATCTTTAACTAGCACCAAACACGTGGTAAGTTGTAACATCAAACTTTATCTAGAAAATGATTCATTGTTAAATAATGAATAATAGATATAAAATTAGTCTTAGTTGATTTGGTAGAGAAATATTTAAAGCATCTATCTAGCTTTATTTCGTAGAAATTTAATCAGTGGACCTCAAAATATATTAATTAAAACAAAAACTGTTACAACAAGTCCCTAGTTCGCCTATTAAAAATAGTATTTGAAGCAGTTCGAATATTTTAAAAAAGTTCAAATTATACTCTTATTCTTCTAATTTGTTCATTTAATCATTAGACTTAAACAGAAAAGATATATAATATCGATAAAGCTTGCAAGGAATATTTAATTAATTTTGATATTTAAAAATATAAGAATATAATATAAAAATTACTAACTGCCCAAATAATTTATAATATAATCTTTTAATAAATTTTAGTTGTCCGTCATACGCATAATGATAATCCAAACCATCAGGGTATAAAAAAGCAGAGTGCTTTGCAATTTAAACATCATTTTACACGCACATAAATACCAAATCATCGTTGCATAATAACGTAATTATTTGATCATGAAATGCATTCGTAAATCGTATTTGATAATGCAACACATTACGATGCAAATTATAAAAATTTTAATTGTATGTTGTATCACCAATAGGAGTCAAATGGACAGCTCACATGGCTCACATTCACTTTAGTATCCGTCATGCTATTCGTGCTTAGTTGTATTATCAAGTAAAGTTGTTAGTGTTTTGTTTCTTATTGAACCTTTATGACTTATTGAACTTTTGCACAATATGAAACATTATTTAATTATAAGGTACTAATATATCTAGCAAATAGAAATGACGGGCAGGTATGATATGGTCATGACTATAGCTAAACCAATTATGTGTATGTGCTTGTCTTCATGTATGTACGTAATAGGGCTTAAAGGTATAAAGGTCCACCACTGACATCTCAAAAATAAGTTAAAGTTTTTTTAACAACAATATTTGAAAGTAGAGGGCAAATATGTATAACCAGCCATCACCTTGATTCTTACGACGTGGCTATCGAGAGATAAATAGCAGTAAAATCCATACCAAAAGTATTTTCTATCGTTGTTAGTTTTTTGGTTGTGGGCACGGTTGTTTAGTTTACGAGACCTTAATATAATTTTTAAGTGTACGTTATCTAATTGTTTCATAAGATATATTGTTAATTTTAAGTTTCAACAGTTTTTTTTATATAACCTCTCTAAAAGCTTACACGTGGGTGGGGTAAAAAAAAACAACTGAACCTATACCCTGGCAAAACTGCAAACTATAAAAATAGTAGATAATAAAGTAAATTAAGTTATAAATAGCAATAGCTATTTTTATTTTGCTGATGAATATTTATGAGGAAATACCAGATCAAGGTTGTTTACAGTGTTATTTCTGTAAAAAATGTAGCCACGAAATTTATATTTTGCATCGGATGAATAATGTAGCTATTATTACGTAAAATACCATTAAATTGAGATATTAGACCTGTTTGCCGCGGGCCGTCCAATTTTATTCCGCCTATGGGGTAAAAAAGACCAGGCAACAAATTTTTGAAAAACAGCAAAAAAGAACATTTTTACAATGATGAATTAGCTAGAACCTAGAAGTTTTACTGAACATAGTCAGATTTTTGTTTGTTTGATATGTGTAATTCGTTGTGATATAATTGGTTTGGTTAAGTCAAAGTGGGGCCTTTGTATCCCGACCTACCATATTAAAAGTAAATAATTAAATTTATATTCTGAAAACCAATAAATAAAATTCATCGGTTAACAATTAAAAAACTAAAACAACTATTGTTATTACGTGCAGTTCAATTTAAATTTGATAAATCTAAACTAAACTAAATCCTCCCTTTTGCCTCAAAAAATATTTATTTAGTTTTTTAGTCATAGAATGTCTCCTTCTTCGGGAATTTTGCAACAAACTTTTTTTTTTAATTGAACACTGCCTAATAATCCGATTAAACTTAAATTATATATAAATAAACGTATGAGTATAATTAGTAATTTCATACATGTTTAAGGACATTTGTGTATTATTAATTAAAACGCGCATTAGAAATACAAACAGCCGAAAAGCACATGGAGGCCCAATATCTATAAATAATAAGCGATAACATGTGTACAGGCGATGTGTATGTGTATTATTATTTATAGTCTGTAATGTTCGATTAAACGGAGCACAATAAAACAATGTACAATTACGAATCTAACCGATAATTAGCATTAATTTCTTCGCCATTGTACCTCGCTTATTGTACGATCATATGCACGTTTTATACCACGAAGTACTTGTGAGATCGCCTTTGCTAATGTCAATTCATCCTAAATGGGCGTAGATAGAAGGGCAAGCTGGGGTCCGTTGACCCATTCGGGAAATTAAGACTAAACATTATTTATTGGATTGAAATTTTTGGAAATGTTAGTTAAAACACAGCTCTGAACAAATAGTAGGGTAGAGCGGAGCTTCGACGTCCGCAAGTAAAAAGATCCACCACCAATATCTCAAAAACGAGTAAAATTAGAAATTTTTTAACAACAATAGTTGATAGTAGAGGGCAAAAGATGTGTAACCAGCAAGCTTTTAAAATATGAAAAAAAAAACATTTTTTTAAAATTTCTACACTAGATCAGATTATAGTAGGGTAGAGCGGGGCTAGTTGAGCATAGGGGCAAGTTGAGCAATCGAAATATCTCGAAAACTATTCACCGTTCGTTTAGGCATTATATGGCGAAAAGATAGAGGTTTGGGAGAAATAAACATCCCGCGATCGCTAGTGGCCGCTGGACAAATGAGTGAGGCTCACGGGCGTTTTGTTTATTTTGAGACCAAAAAGTAAAAACGTAATTCATCACGAGTTTTCGTCTGGTTTAGTCAAATGTTATTTATTTTTAATCAGGTAAATGTTATTCTTTCATATAATTATACTTAATTATAGTACTTTTAAGATGCACAGAGATTCTGGGTATAATTCTCACGGTTTTTTTATAAACTCACTTTTATTTTGAAGTTCCGAGTTGGGGTTAGTTGAGCATAGTTGCTAAATTTGTACTGTCACTAAGGCAATTACCTTTAACTTCTAGAAATTAATTATTATTTTTATGATTTAAGCTAAGTCTATGAGTAATAATATAAAGAAATAATGATTTTAAACAAAAATACTGAATATAATAGTAAAAAAATTCCTAAGATACGATATTGTTTTGTTGATTCTACTTTTCGTTAATTATTCAAAGCAAATTATTATAAGTTTTGTTTTCTCTGTCAATAAAGACTATAAATATAGAACTGGTTATTAAAAACTTATTTTATTTCATCACTAATCGACATTGAACCTATGATTTCATTATACTTTCTTAGTGCTCAACTTGCCCCACCTATGGGGTACATTGAGCATACTTGACTTTTTGCATTTAAACAGCTGTAGCTTTTAAATTTTACTTATTACCAAAAAATAGTATTAACACTTTTGTTAAGCGATAAACAACACATCCAGTAAGCCGCTTAGCAATTTATTGAGACTTTTCATTAAGGAGCTACATCCGTTTAAGTAAAAATTTGCTCAACTAGCCCCGCCCTACCCTAGTGTATATTATATATAAAATATTATGAAGTATTTAATGGTAACGATAAATACTAATAAAATGATTATATCATCATATCTTACAAAAGTTTCAATTCCGAAATACGACCCTTTCCGAATTGAAGTCTCTTATCACGGCGGCGTCGTATACATCGGATATGCGGTATATCCACTGCACACACATCAACTTGTATATCAACACAAACAAACAGGAAGGAACGGGGTTCAATTTCCCTAATGCAACCACCTCTCGGAATTTCAAATACGCGAAGTTGACACAATCATGCACAACATGCACTGCCGATGCAAGTAGAGATGCAACATAAGCAGAACCGATCGCAGAGGAAGAATTTTCAGTTCAAAATAGGATAGGAAAGTCAGATCTACTAATTATAAATATGGATTATAAATTTTAATGAAATATTGAAACATTACTGCTTATATGCTCAAATAAAATCACACAAGATATTTTGAATTTAATCTGCATTGTCAAAAATTTAATAAATTCATTAGGGTAGGGCTGAGTACAAAGCTCTAATTTGACTTTTAGAAACCAAACCAACTACATCAAAATAAATAACACATATCAAAGAAACAATTATCTTCCTATGTTCAGTGAAATTCCCAAGCTATTCACGAATATGTGTACGAGCAATTTTTTAAAAAAAAAATATTTTCGGAGATACCGCTGTTTGACCTTGATAATTTTCTTCTTTTTTCTTTTTTTTGCAAAATTTTAAAGGCGTTTTTCTCAAAACTGTTTTTTACATTACGATGCCCACGATTTCTCGTCTTTTACTGAACCGATTTAATTAGAATTATCGGAGAATTTTCATTATAGATTCCTCTCCAAATTTTAAGTTTAACTAATTTTAAAAAAATCGAGGAAATAAAAAAATGATAAGAATCTTTGAATCTGATCTTTTTCTCAGTCACCATTAGTATATACGATTGTGACACCATTCTAGATCAATAATTTTTTTTTTCATTTCGGATTACAAGGAGGGTTGCAATCGTGAGCATGGTCACGTGTCACCTTTTTAAGACTCGCCACTTCAACCACTGCTATTTTTTAAAATTATTGACTTTATTTTGCCTTAATTTTTATTTTGTACTCTTGTAACGTTAATAAAGACATTATAAAACAGAGGATAGTATCAAAATTAATTGCCTTTTTTATGATGATTTGAAAATGACATAGAATTAATGTAAAGAATTACTAGAATAGACAATATTACACAAGAATAGACAATATGTTTTTACAAATTGTTACGCATTGCTTCGTTTTTTAAGTCAAATTATTATGTTTTATTTTGAAAATGCTATTGAACAAATCTACTAAATATTTTGTCAAATTACAATCTCCCTGGAAAAAAGTTAGATGGCAGACCCCTTATATGTTAGATACTGGACCGTT